ATATTGTCTTTATCCCCTAGAATTGTTTTGGCTATTCTAGGTCTTTTGTTGTTCCATATGAATTTTTGGACTGTTTTCTGTATTTCAGTGATGTACGTCATTGGGATTTTAATAGGAATTGCATTGAATTTGTGTATTAACTTTGGCAGTATGACCATCCCCACCCTAATTCTTCCCATTACTGCAGCAGGTTGGGGTTCAAACCCATGCCTGCAGCCCCGCCCTTCCTTGGCTCCACCCCCAGCCCAGGCCCCGCCCTCAGGCAAAACCCCTGCGGGTCCTCGGTGGTGCTACTCCAAGGTCTGGCTGGGCGCCCCCCCCATCCAAGGCTTCACCCTAACCCCTAGCATCACCAGCCAGCCCCGCTGCTGGCCTCGGGATGCGGGGCGCCCTGCTCACTGCGCACCCCCGGGGGTCGGGTCGGCAGGGAGACGCTCCTGCGGCTCCAGCTGGAGAACAAGCGGCTGTGCCAGCAGGAGACGGCGGACCGCGAGCGGCAGGAGGAGCTGCAGCGCCACCTGGAGGAGGCCAACCGCGCGCGCCACGGGCTGGAGACGCAGCACCGGTGAGCAACCGGGGCGGCCCCGCCTGGGCCCGGGGGAGTCCCTCCGCGGCCCCCCCAGGCACTGAGCCGTCCCCCACCCCGCAGGCTAAACCAGCAGCAGCTGTCTGAGCTGCGGACCCAGGTAGATGACCTGCAGAAGGCCTTGCAGGAGCAGGGGGACAAGATCGAGGACGTGAGTGCCCATCCCCGCCCTGCCTGGCCCTCCCTCCTGACCCCCTGTAATCCTCCTCCTTCTCTCCCCTGCTGCCTGATGCCTGGTGCAGGCCATTGTGAGTACCCTCAGCCCCGGGAGGCACCTTATCCTCTGCCTTCAGAGGGTCCAGATCTCTGGAGCCCCTCCATGCTCACCCCCTGATGTTTCTCTTCCTCCCCCAGCCCACTCTGTTGAAGAGGAAGTTGGAGGAGCATCTGTAAGTAGCACGCTTAAAATTTATATTTTTAGTGGAGACAGAGTCTCACTCTGTAGCCCAGGCTGGCCTTGAACTCTCCATCCTATCTGCTTCAACCTTCCAAGTGCTGAGATTGCAGATGTGCGCCTCCATGCCTGGTGCACAGCATCCGTTAAGATTAATCTGGGGGGTGAGGAGGGAGGCTGGGAAGGTGGCTCAGTGGTAGAGTGCTTGCCTCCCATGCATGAGGCCTTGGGTTCCATTCCTCAGTTCCACATAAGCAGAAAAAGCAGGAAGTGGTGTTGTGGCTTAAGTGGTAGCGCACTGGCCTTGAGCTGAGGAACTGAGGGACAGCGCCCAGGCCCAGAGTTCAGGGCCCACAACTGTCCAAAAAAAAAGAATAATCCTTGGGAGCTGGGTGTCAGTCGTCCTTGGGGACTAGAGGTGTGGCTCAAGTGGTAGAACATCAGCGGTGACCAAGAAAACAGCCTAGGATGGAGTCCTAAGTTCAAGTCTCCAGAACTACCATGAATGAATGAATGAATGAGTGTTCCCCCGCCCACAGGCAAAAACTGCATGAGGCCGATTTGGAATTACAGCGGAAACTAGAATACATCGAGGAACTGGAGCCACCATCTGACAGCAACAGTAAGCGGGACTGAGCAGTGACTGGGGTTCGGGGGAGCGCAGAGGGCTATGTGCAGCTCAGGGGCTTGCTGTCCCCACCCCAGCAGCAAGGCGGATTGAAGAGCTGCAGGACAGCCTGCAGAAAAAGGACGCAGACTTGAGAGCCATGGAGGAGCGGTGCCGACGCTACGTGGACAAGGCGCGGGCGGTGAGGACACAGGATTTAACCACTGTCTTCCCACTGGCTGGCAGGATGGCGGGTGGGGGGTGGGGAGGGATCTCTGAAGGGCGTGGCCTACATACTGGGTGTGGTTTGGAGATGAGCATGGTTTAGTGGTAGAGAGTATGGCTCAAAAGTAAAATGACTGCCTGGCATGTGTGGCCTCCTAGGTTCCATCCCCAGCGCACACACACAGGGCCCAAGTCATCTGGGCATGATGGTACATGCCTGTAATCCCTGTACTCTGGAGACTGAGGCGAAAGAATGGACAGTTCCAAGCTAGTCTGTTATACATAGTACGATATTATCCAACAGCAACAATAACAACAAAAAGATTGTCGGGCGCAGGTGGCTCACGCCTGTCATCCTAGCTACTCAGGAGGCTGAGATCTGGGGATCACAGTTCAAAGCCAGCCTGGGCAGGAAAGTCTGTGAGACTCTGATCCACAAGAAAATTGGAAGTGGCGCTGTGGCTCAAGTGGTAGAGTGCTGGCCTTGAGCCGAAGAACTGAGGGACAGCGCCCAGGCCCAAAGTTCAAGCCCTTCAACCGACAAAAGAAAAAAAGGAAGGCTGGATAAAGTGGTAGAGCACTTCTCTCTTGTAAATGCAAGGCCTCAGATCCAACTCTCAGTCCCTCAGGAAATGGCCAAGGTGGTGACCCTGCCTGTGATTTCTCCAAATCCTAGGTCATACAGACCCTGGAACCCAAGCCACGACCACCTGGTGGGCCACCTCCGGAACTGCACACCCTGAGGTCCCAGCTCCGAGAGCGAGACGTCCGCATCCGACACCTAGAGGTCAGTGGCCTTCCCTTCCCTTCGCCCTGTCTGCAGCACAGCCTGGGCCCTAACTCCCGCTTCTCTGACAGATGGGCTTTGACAAGAGCCGAAGTCAGAGGGAACAGGAAGAAAAGCTGCTAATCAGTGCCTGGTACAACATGGTGAGTGCCTTTCTACCATGGTAGGCGTCTGGGAGGGGCCTCCGCACCTTTCTGTTCTCGGCCCATCGCTCCCCGTCCTTCCAGGGCATGGCCTTGCAGCAGCGAGCTGGGGAAGAGCGGGCACCTGCGCATGCCCAGTCCTTCCTAGCACAGCAACGGCTGGCCACCAACGCTCGCCGTGGACCCCTCGGGCGTCTGGCGTCTCTGAGCCTTCGAAGCCCTTCTGACAAGCACTGACAATCTTCAGGATGCCGCCGCCATCTGCCCCGTCGGCTGGGCCATCCCGAGCTGCCCCGTGCTCCAGGAGGAAAAGGGCAGGTGGCGGGAACCCAATTCTTTTTAGCAAAGTGATTCCTTTTCTTAATTCCCTTCCAGTGGATGAGCTAGCTATCTGGGGGAGAGAACCTGATTTTCTATTTGAGAATAATAAAGACTTTAAATGTACCCTGTTTGGATTCTGAGTGTTAGGGAGAGAAAGTGGGCAAGGGATTCACGGCCATTGCTTTTATTTTTTTTTAATTACATGAGTGAGGTAATGAGTACACTTCCTCTTGAACATTGTTACCCCCTCCATTGTTTTCCCCCTACCATCCCTTCCCTCCCTACCTTCCCCAAGGTTCTTTTTTTTTTTTTGATTGTGATTAAGTGATTACATAATTTCCCAAATTTCACAGTATTGTGGAATAATGATGCTCATTTAAAGTCACAAGTTCATTCTAACTTTCCTGGAGCAAATTGTCTATCACAGTCTATAACATATAACGGTGTACACGTTATACACCATACATGTGATCAGCAGCATGGGGATATTTAGTAGTGTGGGAGTTCTTTGTTTCTTAAGTCCTGTTAGTTTTGTCGTATCACCTAACATTTTGGATTTAGCATCCACTTATTAGGGAGACCATGTACTGTTTGTCTCTTTGCTCTTGGCTTACCTCGCTCAACATGATTCCTTCTAGCTCCATCCATTTCCCTGCAAATGCCATTATTTTGTCATTTCTAATACACCCATTGCTTTTAAAGATAAGCAGGGCCTGGCACTACTGGTGCACACCTCTAACCTTTGCGACTCAGGAAGTTGAGATCTGAGGATTAAGGTTCAAAGTTCAGAGCCAGTCTGGGCAGACAGATCCTTGAGGTTCTTACCTCCAGTTAAGTAGTGATAAAGCCAGTAGTGGACAAGTAGTAGAGTCCCTGCTGTGAGCAAAAAAGCTGAGCTAGAACTCAAAGCCCCAGTACTGGCACATGGCTCGGATTCTTACTAAGGTGTGGATGCTTGATAGTCCTGGTGTAGTGTTTTTTGTTTTTTTTTTGTAATTGTTTTTCTGAAAGATGGTTCAGAGAAAAATATGTGCTTTCATGAAGTGGAATTATCCAATCAAGGAAGGTAGATAACAAAGTGGGAAAAATGGGTTGGGCATGGTAGATCATACCTGTAATCCGGCCAATTTAGGAGATGGAGACAGGAGAGTATGAGTCTGGCTCAGGCAAAGTTATCAAGACCTCATCTCAAAACACAAAACTGTAAGAACTGGAAACGGCCCAACAGCCTGGAGCAGAAGAGGCTAGCACCAGCATCAAAAATAAAATAAAATAAAAAATACAGCTGGGTGCTGGTGGCTCACACCTGTCAGCCTAGCTTCTCAGGAGGCTCAGATCTGAGGATCATGGTTCAAAGCCAGCTTGGGCAGGAAAGTCCGAGAGAATCTTTTTTTTTTTTTGTCAGTCATGGGACTTGAACTCTGGGCCTGGGCGCTGTCCCTCAGCTCTTCAGCTCAAGGGGAGCACTCTACCACTTGAGCCACAGCGCCACTTCCAGTTTTCTAGTGGTTTACTGGACATAAGAGTCTCATGGATTTTCCTGCCCAGGCTGGCTTTGAACTGTGATCCTCAGATCTCAGCCTCCTGAGTAGCTAGGATGACAGACGTGAGCCACCAGTGCCAACCCCTAAGAATCTTATCTCCAATAAACCACCAGAAAATTGGAAGTCATGCTGTGGCTCAAGTGGTAGAGCACTCGCCTTGAGCTGAAGAGCTGAGGGACAGCGCCCAGGCCCAGAGTTCAAGCTCCACGTATAACAAATAAATAAAGATATAAATAAATAATGTTGGGTGCTGGTGGCTCATGCCTATAATCCTTACTACTTAGGAGGCTGAGATCTGAGGATTGTGATTTATAGCCAGCTTGGGCAGAAATATTCATGAGAATCTTTTTCTTTTTTTTCTTTTTTTTTGGGGGGGGTCCAGTCGTGGGGCCTGAACTCTGGGCCTGGGCGCTGTCCCTCAGCTCTTCAGCTCAAGGCTAGCGCTCTACCACTTGAGCCGCAGCGCCACTTCCGGCTTTTGTCTTATGTGGTGCTGAGGAATCGAACCCAGGGCCTCATGCATGCAAGGCAAGCGCTCTACCACTGAGCCACCTTCCCAGCCCCGTCCATGAGAATCTTATCTACAATTAACCACCAGAAAACCAGAAGTGGAGCTGTGGTCCAAAGTGGTAGAGTGCTATCCTTGAGCAAAAAGAGCTCAGTTACAGTGCCCAGGCCCTGAGTTCAAGCCCTATGACTAACAAAACTAAAACTAAAAATACCAGGACGCCGGGCGCCCGTGGCTCACGCCTGTAATGCTAGCTATTCAGGAGGCTGAGATCTGAGGATCGCGGTTCAAAGCAGAAAAGTCTGTGTGAGACTCTTATCTTCAATAAACCACTAGAGGCCTGGGAAGGTGGCTCAGTGGTAGAGCGCTTGCCTTGCATGCCTGAGGCCCTGGGTTCGATTCCTCAGCACCACATAAGAAAAAAGCCGGAAGTGGCGCTGCGGCTCAAGTGGTAGAGCACTAGCCTTGAGCTGAAGAGCTGAGGGACAGCGCCCAGGCCCAGAGTTCAAGCCCCAGGACTGGACCCAAAAAAAATAAATAAATAAACCACTAGAAAACCAGAAGTGGCGCTGTGGCTCAAGCAGTAGAGTGCTCGCCTTGAGCTGAAGAGCGCAGGGACAGCGCCCACACCCAAAGTTCAAGACCCATGACCAACCAAAAAAAAAAAAGTCGGTCAGTGTAGGAACCTTTTCAATAAAGTTCCTTTTTTATTAACAACAACAACAAAAGAATATCAGGCACTGGTGGCTTCTGCCTGTGATTCTAGCTACTCAGGAGGCTGAGATCTGAGGATCGAGGTTCAAAGCCAGCCAAGGCAGGAAAGTCAGTGAGACTCATCCCCAATAAACCACTGGAAAGTGGGGAGTGGTGCTGTGGCTCAAGTGGTAGAACATTCCCCTTGAGCTGAAGAGCCAAGGGACAGGGCCCCAGGCCCTGAGTTCAAGCCCCAGGACTGACAAAACAGCGGGATATCCATAGCTCACACCTGTAATTCTAGCTACTCAAGAAGCTGAGATCTGAGAATCAAAGTTGGAAAGCCAGCTTGGACAGACACATCTTCCAGCTAACCAGAAAAAAAGCCAGAAGTGGAGTTATGGCTCAGCGGTAGAGCAACATCTTTTGAGTGAAAAAGCCAAAGGAGCTCAGGGGCCTGAGTTCAGCACTGACCGCACCACCCTAATCTCAGCTTTTTCTCTTGCTTCAAACTGATCCTCAAATCCCAGCCTCTTTAGTAGATAAGATGAGTGATCCATTAGTGCCTGGCCTCCTTTTATTCAGAAAGATTTTCAGGAGAAGTTTGGAAGTCGTGGCTCAAGTGGAAGAGTGCCTGCCTGGCAAATGTGAGATACTGAGTTTGAACGCTGGTACTGCCAAAAGGAAAACAGGAAAGAAAATGGGAAAGAAGTGTTTACAGCACCATCAAAAAATCCTGAAAGATGGGGCTGGGAAGGTGGCTCAGTGGTAGAGCGCTTGCCTTGCATGCTCGAGGCCCTGGGTTCCATTCCTCAGCACCACATAAGCAAAAAGAAAAAAGCCGGAAGTGGCGCTGTGGCTGAAGTGGTAGAGCACTAGCTTTGAGCTGAAGAGCTGAGGGACAGCGCCCAGGCCCAGAGTTCAGGCCCCATGACTGGACCCCCCCAAAAAAAAAATCCTGAAAGAAGCCGGGCGCCAGTGGCTCATGCCTATCATCCTAGATACTCAGGAGGCTGAGATCTGAGGATCACAGTTCAAAGCCAGCCTGGGCAAGAAAGTCCATGAGACTCTTATTTCCACTAGAAAACTGGAAGTGGAATTGTAGCTCAAGCAGTAGAGCGCTGGCCTTGAGCTGAGGAGCACAAGGACAATGCTCAAGCCCAGAGTTCAAGCCCCATGACTGACCCCCCCAAAAAAAAACAATAAAATTCTGAAAGAGCTGGGTGCTGGGGGCTCAAGACTGGTTTTCTAGCTACTCAAGAATCTGAGATCTGGAGATTTAGTTAAGAGGTCAGTTTGGGCAGAAAAGACCATGAGACTATGTCAGCAAAATCCAGGACTAGAGGCATGGCTCCAATATGGTAGAGTGTCTATTTTTCAGCAGGCTCTTGGTTCAATCCCTGGTGTCTTCATAATGTCTAGGAAGAGAAGGCACACTAACAATTTGAGTAAAAAATAATTCTCTAACAGTTTATTGAGCACCTACTATAGGCCAGATACTTTGAAGCCATCATTACATTTAGTTTCTTCCTGGTAACAAGGCTCTCATGTTTCTGTTGGCTGGAAGAGCCCAGAAAGGCCACAGTGCTGTATGGATGACTGGCAACCAGCTTTGCAAGGAAGAATCCCTGGGCTTTCCCACAGTGCTGGGTCACCCAGGAATGAAGGCTGGTCAAATCCGAGTGGGGCCAGGCCCTGGTGACTCAAGCTGGCAATCCCTAGCTACTCAGGAGGCTGAGATCTGAGGATCACAGTTCAAAACCAGCCTGGTCAGGAAAGTTCAGTGAGATTCCATCTCCAATTAACCATCAACAAAGCAGAAGTGGAGGTGTGGCTCAGATGATAGAGCGCTAGCCTGGAGCAAAAAAACAAAAACAAAAAAGCTAGAGGACAATAGCCAGACCCTGAGTTCAAATCCCAGGACCTACACAAAAGGGATGGGTGGCAGGCTTCTGCTTGCATGCAGAGTGGACGTTTGGTTCCCTGGCTTTGGGAGGGTCTCAGGCTAGACTCTCCTCCTCTTCACCAATAGGGCTGGGCAGCCAGGGCGGCGCGGGTGCCCGGGGCCCAGGAATGGACACGGTAGTAAAAGCATCAGCCGCGGACCCAAGAAGAGGGCCAGGCGGCTCAGGACAAGCGGGAAGCTCCGGTTCCTGATCCCGCAGGCCGGGATCGAGCAGCGGGTCCCCGCAGCCACAATCCTGGGCCGCGCCGTCGGGGGCGCCCGCGCACGCGCAGCTGGCGGCTGTGGAGGCCTCAGACACGCAGCTGTTCTTGCGGCGGAGCAGGGACAGGCGGCGGCCCAGCAGGCCCCCGGCCGTTCCCGCGCCCGCCGGCAGGAGGCGCTGCAGGAAGTCGCCGTGCGCCTCTCCCAGGGG